GAGGACTACTGAGAACTCAAGAACAATGACAATGGGTTTTTGATCCTACTGCACGTACTGGCTTTGTGGGAGCCTAGGCAGTTTGGATGCTCACCTTACTAGACCTGGATGGAGGTGGGTGGTCCTTGGACTTCCCACAGGGCAGGAAATCCTGATTGCTCTTTGGGCTGACGAGGGAGGGGGGACTTAATTGGGGGAGGGGGAGGGAAATGGGAGGCGGTGGCAGGGAAGAGACAGAAATCTTTAATAAATAAATAAATTAAAAAACAAAGAAAGACCAAGCATCTGCTGACTCATTATCAGAGGTCTACTTAGTTATGGTTCACAGAGAGAGGACATTCACATTGTTTGGGACAAGCCCACAGTCTTTACTAAGTCGGTTCCCCTCAGAGACAACAACGCTTGCGCAAACACCAGCCCTCAGGGCAGCTTGCTTCCCTGCTTCACCCACAGACTGATGGGCAGGACACCAAAGGAATTCTGGGAAGAACCTTGTGGATGCAAACAGCAGGAGCAGACTTGGCACGTGAGTGCCAGGTGTGCGCTACACACGCAGGTGAACAGGATACAGCATAACCTCTCCTTCCACCTGAGCAAACGCCCCACCTACCACACACTCATCAGGATAAATCTAAACCATTCCAGACAATAGCCTTTATGAATTCAGTGCCATGGGGCCAAGACAGATGCTACATAGATGGATGTGTAGCCTTTGGCCATCCCTAAGAATTTAACAACTTTTCAATTCTTCCTTGATAAAAAGGGGAACTTGAGAATTGGCCCTTACCCTTTGGGAGGAGTGGATGAGGACTGGGTTGACAGGAGGGGGGAGAGGGGAGGCAGGGGGAGGGGTGAGAGGAAGAGCTGTGGTTGGAATGTAAAATAAAATTTTAAGAAAATTTAAAAAACCATAAAAAGAGGAATTCTTGGAATTTTAATAATATAACAATTAGTAAATCAAGTGTATTTGCTTAAAAGCATATTAACTGTGAATTCTCATCATTGTCCATGCATTGTGAGTCCAAATTACAGTATCTTTTATTTTAAGCAATGCTTTAATATATTTAAGTCTAACATTTTGGTACCAGTGACTGAATTTAGGATCCTGCACCTGCTACCACTAAGCCACAGCCTTGCTTTCGCAAATATAATTTATTTTCAGTTTACTGTAAAATAAAAAGATTTTTTTAAAAAAAAATCACAGGGCAAAGCCGGGTGATGATGGCGCACACCTTTAATCCCAGCACTCAGGAGACAGAGGCAGGTGGATCTCTGTGAGTTCGAGACCAACCTGGTCTACAAAGCTAGTTTCAGGACAGGCTCCAAAGCCATAGAGAAACCCTGTCTCGAAAAACAAAACAAAACAAAAAAAAAAATCACAGGGCAGGATAAAGGCCAAGATTTCATCTCTAACCAGCACCCATTTTCATGTCTAGTTCCACCGAGGCAGAAAATTAACTCCACGGGTGCACCTGACATTGAATGTTTTCTCTCTCTCTCTCTCTTTTTGAATAATAATTAACATTTCTTTGAGAATGTCCTATTGTAATCTGCAGGCCTGTCACAGGGGTACCCTGTCCCTTTAAGAGACAAGCCCCGCCCACTTCCAATCTGCCCCCTTCCCCACCTGGAGCTTCCTGCAGCTCTCCAGCCTTCTCCCCTTTCTCCCTTCTTTCTTTCTCTCTTCCATCCCCTCCTCTCCCCCCCTTCTCTCCCTAACTCCTTACTCCTGCGCTGTTGATGCGGACATCCCATTGGGGCAGGGCGCTCAGTTGTCTCTGATCTTCCGCTAGTGGATCAGGTGTGTCAGTTGTCAGCACGGAAAAGGGAAACTTCTCTGGTTTGGGTTGAACCACGCTCTGATCTATGGGTCATTGGTGTAGAAGGAGCTGCAGCTGCGTTCCTGCCTTTCGGCCCCCAGCTCCCAGCTAGCTTTACCCGAAATAACAACACAAAAATTGTATTCTTTTAAACATTAGTTCTAGCCTCTTAATGGCTAATTCTCACATCTTGCCTTAACCCATATTTAGTAATCTGTGTAGCACCAGTCTTACCGGGAAAGATTCAGCATGTCTGAAGTGGCAGCTTGCTTCTTCGTGTCTGCTCTGCAGAGGAGCAGCGTGGCGGCTGAGCTCACTTCCTCTTCCTCCCAGCAGTCTGTGCTGTTTGCTCCACCCACCTATGTTCTAACCTATCAGGGCAAGTAGTTTCTTTATTAATCACATTGGGAGCTGTTTCAAGACTGTATCTATGTAACAGAATAATAGTATTGGGTTCTCCTCTAGAGCCTATGACCTATCCGGCCACAGGGGTATTAAGGAATAGGAATTTCCTAAGTTTTGTAGTGTGATATTGCAGCATTCTCTAAATTTTTCTTTTACAAAGAGGAAATTCTGAACTTGAAATAATTCTCTGATGCAGTATTTTCTAAGTGTCCTGGAGATTGTTTCTCCCTTTGGAAAGAAACAATTAGAAGTTTTTTTCTAGGTCAGTATAATAAGAACAGAAAGCATCTCCAACTCCAAAGGTATGCTGTGATATTCATGTCTCCCTCCTTTTTACACACACACACACACACACACACACACACACAAAACAAAACAAAACCTTACTTTATTCCAGGTTTAAAAAATTATGTCTGTTAGCCAGGCAGTGGTGGTGCATGGTTTTAATCCCAGCACCTGGGAGGCAGAGGCAGGTGGATCTCTGTGATTTAGGCCAGTCTCATTTACAAAAGCTAGTTCCAGGACAGCTAGGACTGTTACACAGAGAAGTCCTGTCTCACAAACAAACAAACAAACAAACAAAAAACCATGTCTGTTTTAGGTAAGAGCATTGGGTTGCTCAGTTCTTTGCCACCATCAGAGTGTGTACAAACCAGCGCACTCTAGGCTTAGCTCCTAACTGAAGGCATGCCAAACTGATGAGGAGAACCAGTGAAAGCCATAGACTCTCTTACATCTTTGGTAATAAATTGAATCCATTTGTGCCTACTGATTCCCCACAAGCCCACTTTATAGAAACACAACAAGCTCACTCTTCTGTATAGCTCAGAAACTTCAGGGCCAGTTGATAGGAGGGAAAGAGGCTGTGTCCTCACTTACAGAAATGGAACCTTGGAGCTTGGGCTATCGCTGAAATTCTTTGTAAAACCAAAGGGGCATTTCTCAGAATTCCTTGAAGCTAACTAAGTGTTGCTGCAAATCAAATGTGTGACCCAAGAAATCCAAGCGGGAAATCTGTGTAACTACAAGAAAGTGTTCCGTAAGAGGCATACCCTTCTCCTTCCAATTGTTTTGTTCCTTGAGAGTTTCAGTGAAGAAATCCTGTCTGAGCAAGAGTTGCCATGTTGGATTATGGGATAAATTTAAGAACGTCCACCATCATATTTTTCAAAGCAGAGTGAGAGACGGGTCAAGAGAGAAAGTGCATGGTAGTTGACACCTAGGAGTGGCCAGCCTGGCATTTTGTAGAAAAGAGAAAAAAAAAAGAGAAACGAATTGCTATTTTGTTTAAACCCATTATTTGGAAGCTTCTTTCATGGCCACACAAGATGAGACACAAGGAAGATGTACGAGATAGATTTATTATCAAAAGAACTGTTCTTTCCTCAGCAGAATTTAAAGGACACACTTCAATGTCGCTCCTCAAATATTAGGAATTTCCCTCTGCAGAGTTTCATTTCTATCATAACTTTCTTTTTTAATCTTCTTCCCCACGTGGAGAGTCCAGAAATTTGACAGTCATTATCGACTAATGCCCTATAACCTAATGTGATTAAGATATGAAGTCATGCTTTTTATCAGAATAATATTTAGGGCCGGCTATTCCAGGAATGCTTAGCAGAATTTAGGCATTACGTCGGCTTCTAATGTAATCAATTAGTAAATCAAGTGCCTCTGATTAAAGGTATATTGAATGAAAAGGAGATAGGCATGGGTTCAGCACAGCTCTGGAGCCACTGCATCAGCATCCCGTCTCGGGGACCCCAGAGTGAGCTCACTGGGTACGGTCATCCGCTCACGCATGTGCGCAGTGAATGTTTGTTGACTACACATTTACCAGGCACTGTTCTAGACAGTGGGGATCAGGACTGTCAAGGTTACTGTTCCCATTGATCTCACTTCTAGTAGGAACACGGACAGTAAACACAGAGACTAGAAAGGAAAACAAGAAAAGCAAAGTAAACCCAGCATTCAGTATACCCAAAAGGAAATAAAATTTTAAGAAGAGCTAATTTTAAAAAAAAGAAGAAGAGAAGAGCTAATTTAAAAAAAAAAGAATGGGGCTAGCAAGAAACCTGGCACTAGAGAAATTCTCAGGAATCCACAAGGATGACCCCAGCTAGGGGCCTAAGCAATAGTGGAGAAGGTGCCCGAACTGACCTTGCCCTTTAGTCAGACTGATGATTATCTTAAATGTCACCATAGAATCTTCATCCAGCAACTGATGGAAGCAGAGGCAGAGACCACAGCGGAGCACTGGACTGAGCTCCCAACGTCCAGTTGAAGAGTGGGAGGAGTGAGAATATGAGCAAAGAGGTCAGGACCATGATGGGGACACCCCTGAAACAGCTCACCTGAGCTAATGGGAGCTCACCAACTCCAGCTGGACTGGGAAGAAACCAGCATAGGGCCAAGCTAGACTCTCTGAGTGTGGGTGACAGTTGTGTGGCTGGGGCAGACTGCGGGGTCACTGGCAGTGGGACCAGGATTTGTCCCTGTTGCTTGTACTGGCTTTTTTGGAACCCATTCTCTTTGGATGGATACCACGCTCAGCCTGGACATAACAGGGAGGGTCTTGGTTCTTTCTCGGAGCAATGTGCCTTGGCCTCTCTGCGGAGTGGATGGAGGGGTGAGGGATTAGGAATTGGGATTAGTATGTAAAATGGGAATAAAAAAAAGTTTGTTTTCTTTTAAAAAAAAAAAAGGTTTTGAGGGGGACTTGTTAAAACAAAGGGCAACTTATTGAACGTAGAGACTTTGAGACTTTGAGCTGAGAACTGAGTCAGGAGAAGGTTACAGAGTCACAGATTTGGGAGCAAAGGGGGTTTCAAGTAGAAGGGACACCCGTGTAGACATCTAGATTAGAATTAAATGGGACACGTCTCAGGATTATACATTCAGGACTATACCTAAGCAATGTGTGCCTGGAGCTGGACAGAAAGGTGCGACCTGAGGTTAGATGGACAAGGCCAGCTCACAGGACTGGTGCGCTATAATCCACAGCAGACCAGGGACAGCTTATCCAGGCTTTCAAGAACAAGTTTTCAAGCATTTGGTAACCCTGATGCTAAAAACTGTAACTTTAAAATGAATCCCATAAACTCACAATTGAATAAAGTATGCATATCAAAACTATGACACCCAACCCCTTCCTCCCTAACCTCACTGTTTTCTCACAATCCACGCGCATGAGGTTATGAGTATGGGACAGGAACTACACAATGTGCCCCTGAACGTCACTGCTCACCCATTCCACTGCTCACATCCAGAGGCCGCAGACTCTGAGAGCCAGATGGTAAGGTCAGACAAGAATCCATTTCACGTACGTTCAGAGGATGCGATTACATCATTCATGGACCTTGGGTGCGAAAAGGGCTCCCAAAGCACCCAGGCCTGTCAGTCATCTGATTTTACAGTCTTGAGGAATCTTCTGTTCTACACGGTTCACGTTTCTTCAACTCTTAGCCAGCATTTCTTTGCCAGGAGTACTCTTGACAATAACGCTTAAATAAATGTAGACACACTCTTTTATTTTTCTTTTGCTGTGTTCAAAGGAATAAGAAGCAGGACCTCCTAAGGAAGAGAATTCAAGAGGCTATGAGGGTTGTGTATCCGTATGTAGATACCGTCCTTAAGAATCATACATATCCTTTGACCCCAGCTAAGACTCCTAGCAATAATGGAGAGGGTGTCTGAACTGGCCTTCTCTTGTAATCAGATTGGTGACTACCCTAATTGTCATCATAGAGCCGTCATCCAGTATCTGATGGAAGCAGATGCAGAGATCCACAGCCAAGCTCTGGGCCAAGCTCCTGGAGTCCAATCAAAGATAGGGAGGAGGGATTACATGAACAAGGAGGGGCCAAGATTATGATGGGGAAACCCAGAGAGACAGTTGACCCAAGCTAGTGGGAGCACATGGACTCTGAACTGACAGTTGGGGAGCCTGCATGGGACCTAACTAAGCCCTCTGAATATGGGTGTCAGTTGTGCAGCTTGATCTTTCTGTGGGGCCCATGGCAGTGGAACCAGCATTTATCCTGGGTGCATGAACTGGCTTCTTGGAGCCCATTCTCTATGTTGCGATAAGTTTCTCAGCCTTGATGTGGGGGGGGGGGCGGGGCACTTGGTCCTGACTCAACTTGATGTGCCAGACTTTGTTGACTCCCCATGGGAGGAGGGGAGGAAGGGAGAACTGTGGTTAGTATGTAAAATGAATTTAAAATATTTTAAAAGAATCCTGTCCTGCCATGCAGTGGTGGCACATGTCTTTAATCCCAGGACTTGAGAGGCAGAGACAGACAGATCTCTGAGTTCAAGGCCATCCTGGTCTACAGAGTGAGTTCCAGGACAGGCTCCAAAGCTGCAGAGAAACCCTGCCTCAAATATATATATATCCTTAGAGGAACAGAATGGAGAGAATGAATAGATATTAAAGAGGATTTATTAGACAGACTTACACTGTGTGGTTTGGGTAGTCCAACGATGGAGATGTCACACTAGAGAAGACAAGAAGCTGGTAACTTCTCAACCCACAAGGCAGGGTGCCCCAGCAATTCCAGCATAGTACTGAAAAGAATAGAGGGTGCAAGGAGGGCCGCTGGTCTTCAGTCCATGTTGGAAACCTATAGAATCTGGGCTCTAATGTCAACAAAGTTATACAGAACAAAGCATGTGAACCTGCCGGTGAGAATGAAGGCAAAGCTTCCTCTGTGTTCTTCTATCTAGGCTGCCACTGGAAAACAGCACCAAGACCTAAGGTAGGTTCTTCTCACTTCAAATCATCTGATCCACAAAACTCCCTCACAGGGGTGCCCAAGGTCTTGCCTTTTAGTTGACCTCAGATACAGTTACATTGACAACTAAGTCTAAATATCACAGCCCGCAGAGCCAAATGCATTGTGCCAGTCAAGTGTTTCAAGCATCAGATGGAGACATTGAGCAAAATAAAGTCACTGGCAACTGTATCGCTTGTGAGTGCTCCTGAGTATCAGAACCAAGAGGAGACTGGAAAAACAGGTAATAGATGAATGGATAGGAGGGAGGGAGGGAGGGAGGGGCAGAGGGGGAAGATGAGTTGACAGACATTATATTTTGGGGATTACTTCACTCAGCCTCAAGTTCTAAAACCTGGAGATCCAGGAACAGGTGAAGTAGAATAATGTCGAAAAAAATTATTAGCTAGTGATTTCGTGACTTACTTCAAGTGCTGCTGTAGTATGCATTTCCAAGCATGAATTCACCTGCTACCTGGAACAAAAAGACCTGGAGAAACAGTTGAAACCATGGGCTGTTGCCCTTAGCAACCTGACCACAAACACTTACACCTGTGCACTAATAATATATGCCTTCAAAAACAGAAGGCTGACTGCCGGGTGTGCTTCCGTAAAATCTCACTTGCTTGTTCACCCCACCTTGTGGTTTGAGAGTATAACACAAGAATGGAAACTGAGCGAGGAGCAAGGGCTTTCAGGAACTATCTTGACTTGGATCTATGGCATGGCGAACACATTTCCTCTCTTCTAGTTCCATCGATGTTGGGGTGCTATTCCAGAAAGATTCCTGCAGCACGAATTCTTGTCTCAGCCCCAGTCTGGGGGCAAGAGGCAGAAAGTGAGAAAACAGCTGAGCAGAGACGGAATCCTCCCTGTCTGTCCTCTTCAGAATGAATGGGTCCCAACACAGGGAAAGTAATGCCATACTCAATCTACAATTCAGATGTTAAAGTCATCCAGAAACGCCCTTAGAGACAAGTGCTAAAAACATTTAGCTGGATCTCTGGGCACTCTCACTCAGTCAAGTTGACACATAAATTTAACCATCAAAACTAGGACCTTTGGTAAAGGGTAAACATTGGCGGGGTGAGAAATAAACGGGGTGAAACTAGTCATAAGGTCGCGGGATGGGTAGACTTCCTTTTTGGATGACAAACCTTTTTTGTTTGTTTGTTTGTTTTACGAGTATAATTGCGGCTTAATAAAGACATTGAACCGATGTTGCAGGTATAAGCATGGGGTTAAGAGAAAGAAAGATTTGACGGGGCATCCCACGTAGGGCTGTGTGCTTCAGGGTCTCTCCATCTCTCTGTAGTCCCAGCCTGCTGGCCTACACTTGTCCCATCTGTTGCAGCATGGAAGCGTCTCTGATGGCGGCTGAACAAGGCACCGATGTAGGAGTACGGCAGAATGTCATTCAGAGTCATTTTATCACTACATTTTTTTTCTTTCTTTAGACCAATATTGTGTGGTTGTCCCCTGGGTCCCAGGGCTGCCTGTAACAGTGGCAGGTATGGGTTACATCCTGTGGACTGGGCTTGAAGTCACATCAGTGATTGGTTGGTTACAGACTTAGGTTTCTGACCACTCCCTAGGCCCAGCAGGACAAGCATCTCAGTATCAACTTACCCATTTCCCCTCTGTCAAAACCACCAGGGTTCCCGACCTTCCAGGACAAATACCCACTTCTTACCAGAAAAGGTCCCATCTTCACTGCCTTCCCACGAGGTGCACCTCGGGTGAGGCAGTCCCATCCTTGGCATAGGAAACGGGGTTTGTTGAGAGAACAAGGTCCCGGGTCTTGTTTGAGGGGGCATGGGATGAAGCTCCAGAACCCGAATATTAAACGCACCCCAGTGTTTGGGAAGATGATGGCTCGGTGGATAAAGTTCTTGCAGCTCAAATATTCAGACTTGAGTTCAGATTAGCAAAAGTAAAATAAAATAAAAGCCAGTCATGGTAGTGATGGGAAGGGAAGAGGGGGATATTTAGAGCTCAATGGCCAAAGAGTCTCGCCAAATGGATGAGCTACTGGTTCAGTGAGAGACACTGGGTCAAAAAATAAGGTGACACGTGACTGAGGAGGAACGTGTTCAGTATTGGGCTATCACCCTCTGACTTCCGGACATGCACGCAGACGAGGAAACGTGTGCACACGTGCACCACACACACAGATAGAACACCTCGGATATCACTACTGTGGCCATCGTGGGGAACTGGGGGACACACACCTGATTACAGAGCAGAGTTAACAGACTTGAACCGAATGAAGAGGAATGAATTCCGCTGCAGATTTTCAACACATCCCTGCTGCAGTTCGACAAACGACCAGCAGGTGGCAAGCGATCCACATATCCCGAAACAGAAGCCAAGCAGGTCCCCAAATGTTCAGCGGAGAAACTATTCCAGTCACAGACGGTCTTGTTTCCCCAGTTAGGCTGTGGGCAACAGCGGTGTTTCATTCCGTTGCATGTTAATCAAGATGCACCAAAGTCCCAAAGTTTGCCCAAGTCCCTAACAGTAATCCTTGTCTCTGAGATGCTGAGGGTTAGCAAGGTCCATAATTTGAGCATCGGCAGGTTGAGGACAACATCATCATTTACCCATGAAGGTTATTTTAGAGGAAAGATGAGAGAGAGAGAGAGAGAGAGAGAGAGAGAGAGAGAGAGAGGG